AGAATTAGCACTCTTAGGAGTGTCAGAAAGAATCCCCCCACCTTTACTTTTCTCAAACTCTTCTGCCAAAAAGGCTGTTGTGATAAACTCCTTCACAAAAAAAAAAGCCTCATACTAAAGGATGGCAGGGTTATTTTAAGTATTCTCATGTGTTTAGAGCACGTTTTTCATACTCTGCTATCTCGATTTCTCTCTCTCATTCATAAAAGCTGATAAAAATGTAAATTCTCCTGATTCTGGTATAAACTAGTCTTTCCAAAGCTATCAAACTTTGAACAGTGGTTTAATGGGTGGATTACTCTTACTTAACTCTCTAGGAAAGTTCTATACACAGGCTCTGACTATCCAAAGCATTATCAATGGCCAAAGTGGCCCCATTTTGGCTTTTTAAGTACTCACTCTTGCTTAGCCAGTGTTTTCCCAGTTGTTTTCAACAAGTTCAGTTCTTCCTTCCTGATCCGTCAGTATCGTCCTGTCTTATGTGTTCTTAGTTATACCAGTTACGTGTAATTGATACACGAACATTTCTAAAGCCCACTGCAATTTAACTGTGAAGCATACAATTAATTATAAAGAAAAGTAGTTCACAGAACTCTACGAAAGGAGGATTAGTTTCTGAGTAATGCAGCCCTAATTATGATATTCTTATTTAAAAACACGGTATGAACGATAAATTTCAGAGGCTTGATGGAGTGCCACCCATCTGTAATCCCAGTATTGGAAGGATCTCTGCAAGTTGGAGGCCACTTTTGTCTACAAAAGGAGTTTGAGGGCAGTCAGAGCTATGCTAGTAGAGAGCCAGAGACGTCCTATTTATTCCCACTGAGCTTCAATAATGCTCACCTGCCAGCTATTGACCAAGAGCGCAGAAAAGGGAGACCTTCCACTTAATTAAAAAATTTTTATTTGTCTGTATTTTATGTGTATGAGTATTGTGCACCCATGTTGTGCAATGCCCATGGAAGCCAGAAGAGGGCACTGGATCCTGTGAAACCGGAGTTACAGACAGTTGTCAGCCTCCACGTAGATGCTGGGAACTGGACTGCTCTGCAAGAGCAGTCAGTGCTTTTAACTCGGAGCCATCTCTCC